CAGTAACTTCACATCAACAATCTTTTTTTTTTTTTTTTTTCCAAAATAATGAACTCTACTGTAATATGATTCTGTCCCATCCTCTGCTTGCCCATGTGAGAGAACAGAGAGAAACCAATTTTGGTGTTGGCTGCAACGTGCTGCTCCAAAGCAGTCTGCCTTGAGGCTGCTGCCAACACAGAGCCCTGCCACCTGCACCGGGAGGCCACTCCAGGAGCTGGGACGAGACCCACTCTCGGAATCCGAAGCATCAAAAYGCAGCCAAAGGGGGCACTAACCATGTATATCTCCCTCCTTTGTTAGGGAGAATCTCCTTCGGAAGGTATTTTTGTCATATATGCCAAAACTTCCCTGATTTTAACTTGTCTGGATCCTAGTTATGGCCTCAGGAACAGCTTCCAGCTCTGCACATGGTATTTTGGGCTGGCCAGGCAACATTCATACACCACTGAGAACAACCACGCACACAATTCCAAGTGCTTTTGGAAAGCTCTGTGTTGCAGAGTCTATTCTCCTAGTGACTTTTTAAGCAATTCTATCACTTTTTGTTGAAAGAMTGAATAATATTCAGAACACTATTCCAGAACAAAATGTGTTAGAGCTGCCTGGTGGTCTATTGAAGAAATTTGCTTATTATTTACGATCATTTGTTTATCTTAATTATGATTAACTTGTAACAGAGATGTAAAGGCAAACTAGAGCCAGCATGAAAGCATATTTGGTTCATCTAAAAAGTACAATTCCTTTTTTCACTGCATTACATGACATTGTAATGTTTTATTCTAGTCCAATCTTGCTACTTCCCTCAACAGGGACCAAGAGGAAGGAATGAGCACTCCACTTCCAGCTCAGAAAGCCTCTGAAAGCCTAAACCAYGGGCTGCTAGAAGCTGAGCATATTCTTCGGTCCCCTTCTTTGCCTTGTTTTCTATTCCATAACATACATGTTACCAATTATAGCCTGTGTTACTGAATGAGAAAAATCTTTGATCTTACTTTTTAACCGAGACAGTGATTACCAAGTGCAGAAAAATTAACAAAATATTATTCTTTGCTTCTTCAGTGCTGTTCTTAAAATAGCAGGTTAAGTAAATCTGAAGWTGACCCCCATATTTTTGAATCTCGCTAGTGCCTTACAGTACTTCAATCTTTACATAACCATTTTCTTTTGTATTATCATGGAATGATGAGTCATCTACACTTGCACATGTTACCCAACAAAGCAAACATTTCCAAGAACTCTCTTAGGAATTCCCTAGAGCAAACAGGGCACTGCAATTGGGGAAAGAAAAATGAAGTAATGCAGAACTCCTGCTAGCGGACACCCCCTCTGCAACAGAGATGGAGAGAACAGTGCTAGGAAGCACCACAAACAACAGGTAACACCAGGAAACTCTGGCTGCAGGGCTCGACCCCTCGGCTGAGCTCCCACTCACTGGGAATTTCTGGCTTCCATTCGTGAGAGCAGGAAAATCCACAGCAACAGCTGAAAGTTGTGGTCCAGATTCTTGCTCCRTTCAACCATAGCTCCACAGGAAAAGGAAGCACAACAGTAGTCTGGAGTGAATGCATTCAAAATATTGCAGTTTTTAAAAGGTATCTAGGCTTTTAATTATGTAAACATTCCTCTAATTCTTAGGCTGGTAGAATAGTAAGCTAGACTTAACTGGGAGCAGATAGGAGGGTCGAAACATTTYCATCTTATACCTCTTTGAAATACTGCAGAGTTCACTTAAGGATTTGCTTTGTCCTTTAAACTATATGCGTGAAGTGAAGAAATACAAAAACTGAGGGAGAAATGGAGGTTAAAAATAAGGTTAAAAATGGAGGTTAAAAATAAGGTAACAATTACAGAATACACAAGCGTCTTACACTTCCCCTGCCCCTATTCCCTTTGGAAGGCTCAGTTCTGTTCCAACACTGTATTTGGAGCCAGTGTCAAACCCTCCAACAAACCCTGCCTTTCTGCCAACCCCGCCACACACCAGAACGTGGCCTCTGGCCCTCGACACAACTCATGTCCTGCCTTTCTTAGCTGTGGTTTCCTTAACGCAGAAGGCGTTGGCTACAACAAAAGCTGCCCCACGTGCAGTGTTCATCACAAAGGGCCGGCTGCCCAGCGCCAGCAGATGCTTTCCTGCTGTACTTCCAGTGTATTAGGTAGGGTTTTGTTAGCCTAACGCCCCACCTGCTGGCCGAGAACTAGATTACCTTGTGACTGGCACCAGGTCACGCAGCCTATTGCCCTGCCCACAGCACATGCTGCATGGAAGCAGCACGCTGCTGCCCTGAAAGCAGGCACCAGCCTGGGTGCAGGGTCACGCAGCCAGGCTGGCCCAGGAGGGACAGTAAGGGGCAGAAATATAGTCGAGGCTGCTACACAGCATGTATTTGCCTAAGAGCTGGAACAGCCRCAGTGATTATGCTGAAGCACTTCTTCAATGCATTATATTAGAAGTGCTGTTGTGAGTAAATTCAYGACATCTTTCATCTGTGCCACCTCCTATGTGTCGGCTGAACCACCTTGAATATAAGTTCTCTTAAAGAATGAGTCTTTGTCCCCAGGATAAGATACACAAGATACATAGCCAAGGCTGACAACATAAAGATCAAGCCTCATTCTTTCTTCCGAGGAGGTTCTTTGAAGTGTGACTCACTCTGAAGAGCAGAGCCAGGTGTCCCATCACTTCCTAACAGAGCCTCCCCCGGCCAAAGGAGCCACGCTGCCTCTTGCTGGTACCTTGAGTGTAGAGCCACCCAACCAAGGCTCTAACAAACACAKATGGCTTAGAGGCAATGCCTGGATGCAAAGGAGCCCCGGCAAGTGAGGTCAGCAGACCTGTCCATAGCTCAAAAAACAGCTTTGCAGAGACAGGAAATAAGCTTCTGCAAAGGGTGTGGATTTGAACGTGAACCTACAAGTGTTTTATCCCCTGCGCACGTGGCGCTTTGCTGAAGTGCCCTGCGAGCATCAGCTGCCGTTGGCATCACTGGCTCCTCAGCTCAGGCCTCCCGAGTTCTTTGCACAGATGTGTACAGGCACCCACCTGCCTCAAAGGCATCCAAACAGAAGCTGAGCCAACACAGTCCCATGCCGTGGAAAAGTGTCTGCTTCCCAGGGAAGGAGAGCAAAACAAAGCTCAGGCTCCACTAGCAGGCAAGACGACACAAAGATGCCATTTTGGGAAACTGCCACTATTCAACCCTGTTTAAGATCTACATATAAAACTCATTAGCAGGACTATATAACATTTTTCCTTAGAAGAAATTGAGAAAATCAATTTGCTTGCAGAGATAACCAACTTAAAGTACTATCAGTATCATTATCAAGGAACCTCAAATAGCATCCGTGACATTTAGCACTGTATTGGTAAATTTATCTACGCAAATAGGCACAAGAGAAACATTGACCAAGGTAGAAAAGACCTGCTTGACTTTTAACTGTGGTCCTACCAGTCAGTTTGGGGTTTTCAGCTCTAATTAACAGTCTTCATTTAAGAGCAAGGAGAACAAGTGAAACCACGGTCACAAGGTAAAAGTTGTGTCTCYATGTTGTATAGATATACCTTGGCCAATGATATTTTCACTTAAATTGTAAGTCTGAGTTCATCCCAATATATTTTAAGGGCATGCCCAATTTAGCATCTCTTTGCCACTCGAGTACAACCTTTACACAGCACTGAATGTGAGGGCCCTCTAACAGCTGCCGTGAAGCACCACATGGGGCAGCCTGTTGGGAGCTGCCCCAAAGCACCAGGCAGCTGCTCCGCACAGCCCAGGGCCCTCCCTGTGCAGGTAACATGGGGCACAGGAGCCAGGAGCCCTGTCCAAGTGTCCAGTCCAAGAACACCTCTGGGATGGAGGCATTTTCATCACAGCAGGACTTTCTTTGGGTCAGAAGTGAGTATTGCAGGTGACCATTTATACTCCTGGCTACAAATTCAGGCCACTGAATCTKTCAGTAATTACGTACAACCACTGCCTCACCTCCTCTACTCGGGGCCTCAGAAAATAAGCAACTGCCCTAGGCATGCATTACCTCATGCAAAAGTATGTTTGTGATCTGATTGTTTACCGATTGTAACAAGTTAAAAAAATCTATRAAGATGGTAACATAGCAGTTAGCTGTATCAAACCAGTAGTATTATTTAAACAGTGGAGAGAAAGCATGGTGGTTTGGTATTATGGCAGCATACTTGTGACAAATCATCTCTAGCAACATGGCATTGTTTGTGCAGAGAAAAAGCCAACAGCTTTGTTTTTTTCAGGTCAATATATGCTATTGAAACAGGAGTACAATTCCCTATCCCAAATTCTTCCTCTTTTTAAAATTACACTCATGAGAAGCAAGCTTTTGTTTTTAAATGCTGTATTTTAGAATTATGATGCTCTGACCATCCATATTCACAGCAACTTGGTTCCCTTGCCATGTTATATTTCACTGACCTCTGGTTCTACTGAGAGAGTCTTTCTACAACCATGACTACCTCCCAATCTCCTGTTAAATTTGAAGCAGAACATTTTACTGTACTCAGATTCATCTATGCAGCCCTCTGGGGAGACAAAGAGGTGAGGGAGAAAGCAGSAGAGTACCTAACATATGAACAAAGCAAATACAGTTCAATTTTACTCTTTCAAAAATGCATCTAAGACCTATTATCAAGCTAAATTCAGTACTACAAACGTGTGTAATTGACAGCATAGAGCCTTGTAAGCCTTCAGAAGCATCAATACATTTTTATTATGCTGCTTGTCTTTCAACAAGGTATCTTAAAATTCTTTCTACATTAAGAGGTCACTAGAAGGTTAGGATGCCAAGGCAAAATAAAAATTTATTTTAATTGTTTCAAAATACAAGACTAAAATCTACATCATTATTAAAATATGCTTACAAATATTCTTTGATTAACAGTTTGCATCACATAACAAAACTAGACATTTTTAAATGCAGTATTTTCTCACAATTTTAAGATACAGGCATTGCTAAAATTTTTCCAGTAAAAAAAAAAAGCATACTCCGTTGAGTAGCTGATATAGCTAATTATGTTCTTGCATCGTCTCTTAAGTTATGAACAGGAATTTTAGGATTCTCTTAATTACTCTCCCCAAACTAATAGTAATGCTCAGGACTCCAGGTATATAAATTGCCATTAATGAACAGAACTACATTGATTAGGTAGTCTAAAGAGAACCAAGACTTAAAGGGCTGCAATTGAGTTACAACTTGATGTCTTCTGTTCCACTGATTAAGAGCACAGTTTTAAAATTCTACCTCTTGGGCAAGTAACTGCTTCAGCTTTTAGGCTACAAGAGGTAAAGTGGTCAAAGTTAGTAACTTGTTAGATATTCGAATTGTGGTTTAAGAGAAACTAAGTGTAACATGCAACAAACTGTACCTTAAAGCTCAGAAGAAAATTCACATTAAGTTAACCAAGTGTGTTGCCCATATGAACTCTTAAACATTCTAGTATCAAGGCAAGGGAAGCATGCAAACTGGTAACAGAACATGCAAACTGACAAACTCTTACAACTTCAAACTGCTCAAACAAAAATAAACATCTCTGAACAGGTAAAATATCAACACCAACTTGAAGCAACTTTTTGAAAAAAGGTTATACACGATACTACAAATCTTACTAAACTGAACTGCAGCAACATGAAGATAATGAATTTCGGTACTTCCAAGTTTCCATGTTGCCGATCAAACACTTTTGAGCACTGCTCGGCTTCTTCTGAAGTGATGCACCTTTCTCTCCTGGAATGGCAAAGGAGAGACAGGGGGAAAAAAGTGTTACTGGAGTGTGTTACCTAGAATGCAGCAACTAGTTTCATTAACCCTGTATCCTGAGGCATTCGGTACCCTATTCRTTGCCCTCCAAAGACAGGTTAATACAGCTTCGGTGGCTCCTGCTTCTAAATACAGATGCCTCAATCTGTCTGTCAAAAATCAAGAACCAAAATAAACTTAAATTTAACATTAAAATTGTAACAGAGAACAGAAAGGAAAAGCCATTCAAACTTCAGAAACCACTATTTTGCCACAACAGAGGCAGCAAAAGAGCTTCCCATTGATGCAGGATGTCCAGTTACTGACYTGGACTCTTATTTATCAGCTGACATGCAGTCAATTTACACTACTATAATTAACCCTCATTACTGGTGAAACAGCTGTCAACATTTAAATTCATCATTCTCTAGGGCAGGGCTAGGGAATAACCTGCTGCCCTTTCAGCAGTCTGCTGTTTAGGAATAATTTGCCTTGGTATGCTCTGAATACGTATGGGCAGGTTGCTACAATTTTCATGCCGTCTTGTATTAATACAGTTAAAATCATGCCCTGCTTTCAGTACTTCTTTCCAGCATTAAGAATCTGGAAGTCAACTACTGGAATCAGCATCTCCCAAAGGATGTTTCCAGCATCTCCCAAAGGATGTTTCCAGCATTACCAAGGCAAAAAAACCACCACCCAACAAAACCCATAACATCCCAAACAGAGCCAAGTAAGAGCATCGTTATCTTTATAGTATCATGTAACTGAGTACATGAGGCCAGCTCTACTCTAGGAACTTAATCTCACTTCCACCACATACCTTAAAGTAGTCTTCTTGTGAGACAAACGTGTTCCTCAGGCGGTTCTCAGGATTGAACAGGCAGGATACCACTGTCTGTATGCTCCTGTCCACAGATTTCTGAAATATAGTTACATGCACATCTACAACACTACTGCTACTAGTTAGCCCAATACTAGCCATGCATCTGTGTCACAAGCTTTGCTCAATATTGCTTTCAACAGTCCTTTGTTTCCCAAGATTTTTTTTTAAGTCTTCAAACATTTAAAATTCATACTCCTACCCTCAGAGGTTGCTGGGTTTGTTCAGTAGCATCCTAGTTAATTTTTATGTCAGATTACTCCAAAATTCTTTAAGCCAATGTCAGAGACTACTATTGATCAACACAGGAATGAAGAGGAAATGGGATTAAAACCCTGCTCGGCTATTTCAGGACTCAATAAATCTGCATACCAGAGCAGGAGATGCTATCAGTCTGCTACTTTTCAGTATCTGCGGATTCCCCTGTAATTCTCAGGGGATTAAACAAAGCCCTGCCAGTCAAGACCACTGCTGTCCTTCATTAAGTAGGCCACCAAATTACGCACTGTACAGCCCCCCCAGTGGCAGACAAGTGCCAACTGCTCCAAGGGAATGTGAGGATTTTGAAACTGCAAACAAATCAGAGAGACAGGGGACTAAGTAGCTGATTGCAGCAGCTACTCTAATGTTCGTTTCTAGGACTCCAGGACACCTGCCACAGGCCCTCTCTAACAAGCACTCCCACACTTGTGGCCGAGTTTCTGGGAAAAGGCTTTATGAAGACAAAAAGTTCCAGTTTTAGAAAAGCATTTACCTTTTGTGGACTGTTACTAGACGACTGTGGGGGCTCTGGAACAGCACACTCTGTCTGGATAAACTCAGGATCTTCACTATAGTGGTAGCTTACTGAAGTATAGACCTGTGGAGTWTTTGAAATACTGCTGTTAGCTAGTGAAAGCTACAGATTATTTATTTCCACATGTTCCCCTGCAATCTACACTGGGTAAAAGCTTGGAGTTGCAYTGTCACTGGTCCTCACCTACCATAAGTCATGCCAGCTTCCCTCCTTTTTGTTTAAAGAAGTTCTATATCCTTTCAGTGAAACAGCCAAAACCACCAAGGAGGTTCAATCAAGAGAGAAATCCCTGAGATCAGGGAAATTGCTTCTTTCGAGTCTTTAAGCTCCTTGCTTGTACGAAATCTGTAAAGAGTCTGTAAGGAATGATACTTGAAGCTATCTCACAGTTCTAGAAACACTTTTTACTCCTATAAGCATGTTTTTTCAAGTGTAATAGAAGCCATTACAAGTTCTCTAAAACACCTTTAGCTTGCTATCATTTAATTGGCAAGTAATGCAGCAGGGGTGTTTGATGTTCAGGGATGTTATTAATGAAGTATTTCTCTAGTATCATCCGAGGAGAACTGTCACATCTGATCGCAGGTAGCAATACATACATGCATGATAGTCCATTTTTTTCTACTTACTTTCTGTATATTCTACAGAGGCCTGCTGAGAATTAGCTTGAGAAAGTACTATTCAAAAGAAAATTAGGTATTACGGTTCCTAGATATTTTATATAAACTGCATTGAGTAAATAAAACTGTGCCCAAAGAACACATTAAAAACTTCGGAAGTGAATACCAATTCTGGTCCTGTGTTAAAGACTTGTSAAGTCAAAAAGTACTGGATTTCTTTAGAAGCCATCAGCACCACCTACAGACTGTACCTTAGTACCCTAAATGTTTAAAAAGCTGTTAAACCACTAATCACCRCTATTTGCAGAGCTAAGTATTTTGATGGTCTTTTGTATTTATAATTTTTCCAAGAAAAGTACAATATGCAGTAGGATTATGCAAATTTTAAAGTAAGTCTAAAGGATGCATCCAGCCACCACAGCCAGTTATTTTTCCTTCAGCTTTTTACAAAGAACCAAATCTGTTCCACATGRAATTCCCAGAGTTCCATGTTCAAAAAGTGTAAGGGAACACCACAAAGCTGGCAGTTCTGCTCTGCCAGGCAGCTCCTAACAAAGCACCTTGAAAAGAGGATATCCCAAACAAACTGGCTCCTTTGTCAGCCACCACAGATCTGTATAGACCAGAGTTCCACACATTTCTGGTCAGCACAGTCAAGAGTGACCATCAAGCAGGCAGACTCTTGTGCTTGCTGAAAAGCTGTCACTATTTAAATCAATATATGCGAGCTTACCGGAGGCATAACGTAATTCCTTTGCTCCCCAGCAAGCCACTGTGGTTGAACCTTCAACAGRAATTAAACAAGAATCAGTCTTTATTCTCATTATTTCCTACACAGTCAAATACTCTGTAACAGCAACATTTGCATACCGTGTTCTACAATTCTGCTCATCAGTGCTTTACCTGGACATTTTCCCTGTCTTTCATCTACCAAGACTGCTTTTACATGTGTACATCATATTCAGCACAAGACTTAGTTCCAATTCAAGTACCCCCACTTCCCTCCTCATTCCAAGTTACAAAATTCCTTTTCCAAAGACTAGAAAGTAAATGCATTCACAGTAACACACTGACAAAACTGGAAATATCTATAGAGATTTGAGATGCAAGTTTCCTTTGAAAGAAAAGGCACATGTGTGCACACACTCACACCTACCCACGCATTTCACAAGTTTGAAAGTCACTCTCCAATTAAGTGTCTTCATAGATTTTTGAGTTCAAGAGCACATTCTGATGTTCTGATAAAAACTTATCATCAGCTGCTCCATTCAGGTGACCAGCATCGGCTACTCAAAAAGAGATAAAACTTTCTATTCAGAAAGTTACATTTTTGCTAACCTGAAAGACATTTTACTGTTAAAAAGTCTAAAAAAAGGGGGCAGCTTACTATATTGTATTAGAACATAATCTTTTGTTTTTACTTTTTAACTTCTCTCAAGCTGGACCTGTAGGGAAGCAATTCAATTAAAGCAGAGAATCACAGAAGAAAAAAATAATTAAAAGAATCAGACTTTATTTAACACTGTTCATTCCATCCAAGTTTGTTTCTTCAAGCTTCACCTAGAAAACTATAGTCAAAAACATGCCACACAAAATATATTTGTTTCTTAATCCTTAATCCTCAAACGGTTAGAAGTAAGTGATTATAAATGAATTGAACTTAGGAGCAAATATCCCTGTTTTGCACTTAACCCTAATTTTTGATCCTTAGGTAGCACTTAAATTTGCTCTGATCTTCACAGCCAATTAAGTTTTCAGCAACTTTATGGTAGTTTTAGAGTCATTTAAACATAATCTAGTTAAGTACAAAACAATTTAGAGAGTATTTTAGGGGTATCCAAACAATTATTGTTCACTTTATCCTTTATTCTACATCATCACAGCTCTTACATTCTGATATACCTAATCATCATTTGAACACCAAGGTGAGACAAACTTCACAGACCCTGATGCACATCCTGGCATAAAATTAGGACAAGCAACCAGGCTCCCAGTCCCAGACAGACACCACTCCTCCATAGACTTATTGCCCTTGCAAATTTTGGCAAGTGGACAAGCAGCAAGAGAATCGTGGGGCGCTTCAGTAAGCTAAACTGCCCTTCACTAAGTTAAACTGCAGCTAATCAAGGACCAAGGATTCAGGTAATGCCCCTGTGGCGCCTGGATGCAACGTACGAGTTAAAGTAACCTCCTGAAACAACTGCTACCTGCTGATAATTCATTTGGAATTATTAAGTGCTTAGCATTTAAATGCAAAACCATTCCTAAATGAAACTCCTTAGAATAACAAGGACTAGCTGGCTAAGCAATTCCTTTTTGCTAGGGTTCAGTACTCCTACAACACTCACCTGATTAAATGAAACAGATCTAGCAAGTGTTTAATACCCTAAAAACCTTTTGTTAAGCATTCTGGAGTGTTCAGTCACCAAATAACCTTTTTTTTCTTCCCCTCCTAAGCTAAGCAATTATGTACCTGATAGTTGTAAGCTGGCTGATATCCCACAGGAACTTGTTGCTGTATCAGCAGAGCTGGTGAACTGTACGGATATGTCTGTAAAATAAAACATTTCTTCAATACAAGTTTGAGATAAGATTAAAAATGCATCTCTTTGCACAGACATTTAAAAAGCAAGGAAAATTAGAAATACAGGACTTGGAATTCCGGTTCCAGAAGACCTGATTACAAAAGCCTTACAACCCTCTTTGATTTCTGATAAGGCTTTAAACACTTCATATTAGAAAAAGAAATCTGCAAGAAGTGGAATTCTCACRTGCTACKCATGTAAAAATCCTGCCTACCTATGCAGTTCATCTTTAAGTCACTTCAGAAACAGGAGTTTCCCAGTATMTTTATAAAATACAMCTGAACTAAAAAGCTACTACAAACTAACAGGCTATAGCCTGAAGACCACTTTCACCGAGTCAAAGATAAGCAACAGAATTMACAGTTTGCTAGYATTTCTTTATTTCAGGTATTTTGATAAAACATTAACCTAGAAGCTTGTCAGATGCTTCAGAAAATAAAAGCACACAAGTGCTTAAGAGAATTACTTCCTTCCGAACTATTTCCTCCATAATATTACAATATCACCAAGAGTGCTGATCAAACCCTCTGCTTCAAAGAAACAGACTTTTCCTGAAGCACTGCAGTTTACTCACCTACAACTGCTGCAGAGAATACATTAAATATTGAATAATTAAATTAAAAAAAAATCACTAGAGAACATACTACATATRTTCAAGAGTACAGAAGGCACAAGCAGCCCTGGAGTATTCTGCCCATACCCACACAAGTATCAACAAAGTGACATCCTGCAGACATATGCCCTGTGTTGGTCACAGTCTTAACAGAGGCCATAATACAGCATTTCAACAAAGATATGGCAAGAATCCAGAAACAAAGCCTTGTCTGACTGGGAGAAACAAAACAGAGCTTGCCAGAGACAGCTTCTGGACAACTTCTTCACAACGGCTGGAAGCAGAATAAAAGCAGAATGCCAAAATACATTCCACAAGCTGCATGTGCTTGCATTTCCCATCCGTAAGTTGGTGGCATGAATGTCCTTACCTGAACATACTGAGTTACTGGACTCATCACAGCTGGAGGCTGCATATAGGGCTCTGTATTTTGATTACTCCACACACCATGAAATTGTGGCGCAGGAGGATTAAAAACCAAAGGTCTGGGGTGCATATAAGAACCTTGTTTAAAGCAAAGAAAAAAGTATTAACAGAGCTTTTAAAGTTTGTTTGATCAGTAAATTAAATCCACAGAAGCTTTAAAATATTTTACATTATGGCTTTGACTGAATTTATCAATTATACTGTATTTGCAGACAACATGCTAAGAACCAAGCTGCCAACCTGGACTGTTTCTTAAAACAAACTCTGCAACATCACACAAGGTCATAGAACTCTCAACTTAATTGTMATATACATCCTACATCAGGTAAAGCTATTTGCAAGGATGTTGATGTATATCTATAGGAAGCAATATAATCAGTAAATCAGTTTTGTACTCACACAAGTTCTGCTGTTTTCTGATAGCTGGCCCCAGTTTCAGCTTTTTGCCATGGAAGTTGATTTGAGACTGAAAGAACAAGTTACTCTGTAAGCTGGGAATCAGCAAGGTGGGTGGTTTGTTCATTTTGAGATACTTCTAGCCCCCAATTAATTCCAAAYAGGCTCTACTGCAATACCTTTTTTTCCCCATCTCCTCTGCTCCCCCACCTCCCTCAACACCTCACACCTTTCCTCTCTCACTTCTTGCAGTGCTTTCRGCACATCCATTTGCCTACTCACCGAGTCATGACCTACCCAACTATTATGTATATCCTTCTCCTTAAAGTAACATGTACTACAATTAGTCTGACGTCACACACTAGTGACAGTGCCTTACCTTTACTGTTTTAAGCATACAGGTTTTATTATCTTGGCCTCAAGAGAATTACTGAGGCCATGTGTAGAGTGACTATGACATCTAGTGTCCCTCAAAMCCTAATTTACAAGGCCACTTATCTTCATTTCCAACATATTTCCTAAACAAGGAAGAGGAAAATTGAACCATGAAGATCATGTGACCCTAATACCAGGAATGTACTGGAAGTATTTGGAGGGTGCTAGAAAGCTGTTATACCAGGAAGGCAGGATTCAGAGTTTTAARACCAATGACTGAATAGTGTTTTGACAGTGTAGTATCTGGGAACATCACAGAAAAACAATTTCAGGCAACTGCCCTGCAGAAAATCAATTCTGCTTTTTTTCCAGTCAGGTTGTCTATGCAGTCTGAAATCCAGAGGAGCATGTGCTGTTGTAGGCAGACAAACACCACCAACACATCTTTACAGTTTGATCTGGACTGACTTTAGAAGATAGCCTGTGTGATCTGACATCAGTTTTATGCTTGATTGTAAAGCAAGCCATTAGAGCAACTCGCTGATAATGAAGACATTGTTCTATTTGATGACCATCTCCTACAGAGAAATCTTGAATGAAATAGTATGGGGAATAGAAAAACATCTTGGATCAGCAAAAATTAACCAAGACCAATTTGTCAGAACTTTTACTCATTCTGGAGTCCCACAACCACCCTCTTCAACTGAGTAACACTCACAACCCTGTTTCTGGTTGAAGTAAACGTAAAGATTCTACTTCACCACTAGTACAAAATTTAACAAACTTAGTTCTTGAGCAGTCTTTCCCTATTTATTTGACTGTATAGCATGAAGCTCAGTTTCCTCTGATTRTACCTCCAAGCTGAACCGCTTCAGCTAACAGAAAGATAGCTTACTTCAACTATTTTTTGAACATCCACGTTGTCCAGGAAGGATACAAAGCCATACCTAAAAAGCACAGGAGAAAAAAAAAATCTGTAACCAGATTTTTATTTGCTTGTTTAGCTTCTAACTTAATTTGAAGTTAACATTAACTATATGTGAAGAGTATTACTGTATGCCTCAAGTACTAAGTCAGGTATTAATTTATAATTCTAAAAAAAGACCAGTATGAACAGTATTTACTACTAACTAGCAGCATATCCTCTTGGGTCAGATGAAAGAAAATCATATATGTAATTTTACAATATATTGAAATAAATTCAAGGCTTTTTTTCTTCCATGTCTGCTACTCAAATGAACACCATTTGAAAGCATTACAGAATTGGCAGCTTATGAAGAATTAAACCTGATCTCTGGCTCATGTATTACTTTATATTCCTACAGAAAATTAAAAAAAAAAAAAAACCAACTTGAATGACTGTTCATAGAACCATAGAAAAATCTGAGCTAGAAGGCACCTCCAGAGGTGAAGCCTCCTTCTCAAGGCAGGGCTAATCTCTGAGCTGGAAAAGCTTGTGCTGAGGTTGCGGACAGAACTCTATTGAATAAYGCCCTATGCACCTTCCTCTAAGTGCTTAACCATTGTCATTCAGAATTTTTTCTATACATTCAATGAGAATTTCACTTGCTGCAACTTCACTGGTGTCTTTCATGATACTCCATCTGAAAATTTGTCTGCCTTCTMAATAACCCTACCCCAAGAGTTGGAATAGTACAGTTAGACTGCCCTGAATAAACTCGTATGTTTCTTTTCATCATCTTAGTATTACTGAACTAAACTCTCTCCACGTTGTTACTGAAACTATCCTGACTATTAAAATGTCAGTATTTCATCCTCTGAAGATAGGTCCACACAGATGTCCTAAGTAACAAACTGTTTCCACCAGTTAAATTACAACAATCCTATTCTCCTTGAACAGATATACTAAAATCAGACCTTTTTTTTTTTTTTTTGGCAGATTATACAGATTTATGGCCATTCTAGACTTAAAAGTTTCATGGCTCTTATTTCATTACTACAGAAAACCACAGCATATGAAAACTTAAGTATTTCAAGTGTCTTGCTGAATAGCTGCTCATCRTAACACCTATGAAAGAATTACATYYATAAAAACAGCAATGTAAAGCAAATATTCATGTTCTACTTACCCTTTGGAAACACCAGTTCTATCAGTGATTATTTTCACCTCTTTCACAGTACCATACCGTGCAAAGAAACTTCGAATTTCTGTTTCATTCATCTGAAAGAAATGAAGTCTTACACCCCTTCAAGCACACACATTCAACTGCTGAGTTCATTAAAGCAGGAAAAAAAAACCCACAAGCACCCACCATTTAAATCCATATCCTATTGTGGTAAGAACCTCACCTTTTCCAAAATGCTCTCATGAAACCAGAATACCAGTAATAACAGACAAAAACCTCAGTTCTATTCCAGACATTAAATTCCCATTTCCTTCCCACTGAAGCATACCATATATACATTTCTTAAGACATTAAGTGCACRTAAATACCCTTATATCAATTCCACCAACAAAGACTGTATTTGGCATGATTTTTCCTTCTGGTAAAACATATCCTTGACTGGTTGCTGACAAGTGGGTATTATCCTCCCGAGAGATGCTTGCACACTGGGCCTCCGCGTCTGCAGACTGAAAAGTTTATAACAGAAACACGTCAGTTGGATTGTAGAGTATTTTACAGTATCTCTGTTTTATACATACTCATACTGAAAGAAAAAAAATGAATAGGGCAAATAAGAGCATTTTCCAGTTATCTAAATATTTATTTCAAATAGACCATTCATCTAGAAAAGAAAGTTTTTGACTAGGCTACACTAAATACCCTCTGACTTCATGTTTCATGACTGATGGTGCTATTACCACATCTACAGGGAAGCTCTAAAATAACTCATTTGAGAACTTCAAGAATTCCTTTTAGACATGAACAAGAAACTTATATTTTTCAACTAAAGATAAAACTAACAACAACTGATTAACCAACATAACAAATTCCATTGTTTTCCTGTTCAAATTTCTCAAGAAGCTTAAAAATAACCTTAGAACACAACATGTGAAAGGTTATACTACAATTTAGTGATAAGCAGGACAAACAGATCTTAATATTGACACTACTCATCCTCACCTCAGGGAAAGAAGTCAATCTACAAACTTCATGAGGAGCTGCAAAATGCCTGTTATTAAAGCTCTAAAAGCTATAAAACTATTATTGTCTGTACCACAGCATTATCCTAAACATGCACTGCATATTCAAAAGAATATCGGATTAACTTAAGTCATACAATTTGTACATCCAAACTTCACATATTCCTTTTTGCTCCTAAAACTTTATGCCACAGTCCTTAAGTTCTAGATGCATTCAGAATCACACAGGTGATCCTTCCAAAAGAAATAAATTCATTCAAAAAATTTTTCAGAACAAGCCACATTCAATCCTATTTGTCTATCCTATTTATACATTCTACCTTACAGGCAATTTACTGCATATTTTACAAAGGTGGCTGCATGAACTAAATCACCACAGGAATATCAAAAGCATCCTGAACTCCAGTACCTACCATCCTCTGCTCTCCCRCAAGGATCAGCCATGCTTTGCATGGCTGCTAAGGATACAGGACGGCTAACCTGACCACTTCAGATAGCTCTATGTTAACACACTTTAAAAAGCTCTTCTTTACAATTCAAGCAGCGAGTCATCAGCCCCATTTTATATACTCAAAACTTCAACTGTTTAGTCAAAGCATTCAATACTTTTAACCCTAATAATTCACAATGGCTGGCACTCAATTTTTCTAATGTAACAATTTGCATGTTTAATTTGCAGTTCCTATTTAAACAACTGCAGCTGTGAGTGATCAGTACTCATTCAAAATGCACATCCGCTGAAGGAATGAGAAAACAAACAGCACCAAGTAGTACATGTGACACATGACCTGCCCCAAAATAACAGACACAGAAGAAGAATTCAGCCCTCCAAGTGTGACACTAAGCCACCACCTCTCAGAGGATGAAGACGTGCCCCATCTCTTCCTCCTCAGCAGTTCAAATTAAGCTGGCTCAACACAATTTGAAAGATCAATACGAAGTGTACAGTTTTCCATCAGACTAGTATTCCAGTATTTCAGACAGCTGCATCAGTTCACCGTGCTACCGCGCAGGCCCCACATCTACTCTCAGCATCTGTGAATGTAGAAGAGGTGGATGTAAGTGGAAGATGTTCAGCTGCTCCTTTTGAGAGCAGCAAACCATCAAATTGGTTCAAATTCATCTCGTAGAAGTGTACATTAGGACAGCCTTCAGTCCCCTCAGACCACACATCTTTCCTGCCTACACTCCYATCTACCTCAGACCACTACCACATCTGTAAACACCCCATCATCTTATTCCCTTTATTCTCTTGGAACTCTTCCCAATAAAAGTTGAGAACTTCCACTAGCGCACAACAGTAAAGCTGGAATAAGACAGTGAGGTTCGGAATGAAAAAAGGGCAATTCTCACCCTTCCTTCCTACTGTGCCAGGATGGCTCTTCACACCACTGCACAAGGAACTGSATCTCATGACTTGAGAGAGAAAAATTGTTGGAATAGTTTTCAGACACATTCTTTTCTGATCCAAGTTCAGTTTGCAGTCATGTAAACACTGTGCTAGCATAACAATGCAATACAAGGGCAAAAATGAAGCAAAAGGAGAGCCTAATACTGGCCTTTGGCAGCAACCCCAGCTAAACAGCAACGGAACCAAAGGCTGAGACTGCAACTCAACAGCAAACTTGAGCGGACCTAACTGCTCGCTCCTACAGCTTTACTTCTTTTGCACCACATGCAGCACTGTGGTCAGGCCTACTTCGAGTCTGCTGCAGTGAATGGAGATGAAAGAAGCATTCACTTTGCTCTGGGAGTTTCATCTCCAGAGGAAAACTTGGAGCACAAGCACCTGCAAGTGCCCAAAATCACATGCAAAAGGAGGCTGATACAYCTCCCAGATGCGCCTGTATACAGTTCTTTTAGATATTTGCTATGCACAGGGATTGAAGTGTAAAAAGGACAGTCTGACATTTAGACAAACTATTCACCCTCAAAAGGTAGCTTTGTTATATATCCTTAAAAAAAAAAAAAGAAAGAAAAAAACACCYACCACACAACTGAAGGCCTTACAGCACAATGACAGGAAATAAAATCTCCCCTTTCCAAAGTTATTTTTCTCCAGCGTGATAACGCAAAACTTTCAAGGTTTGCCAAGTCAACCAAGTACTGTCCCATCTAAAAATATGAAGTTATTTTACCAGCACAATGTAAGCCTCAGTATCCTCTTATTTCATAACATACCCTTATGTACAAATTATATTTTTATATATAACAGGGCCAAGAAATTCACACCCCTACACAAAACTCAAACCTAGGCCACTTCTGGTTTCTATAATTTGAAAATAAATCCTTGAAGCAAACTAGCTGTCTTGAAGCCAGCCACTCAGAACACTACCCTATATGGGATGATTTGACACTTATGAAGTGTCTCTGAGAATCAATATCTAGATGCCAAGAGATTCAGGGCTCCGTTTTTCAACCCAATGAAGTGAACATCGAATTCTTCCCATCTTCGAGCAAAGGGGCGCTATGGAACATCCACCTCCCGCCCGTCACCGTGAGGGCCGAGGCGGCTCCGCGCCGCGCGGCGCGCGCGGGGGGCGGCAGGGGGCGCCCTCACCCCGGCGCCGCCGCCCCCGGACGCTCCCTAACGCTCCGCTTCGAGCCCGCGCCCGTTACCGCCCGGGGGCCCGCGCACCGTCACAACGTTTCCCCCAACGCACGCACAGGGTGGGGATAACGACACAGCAACGCTGCGAAAACATATAACGGGTTTTGGCTAATTCTGACTAGCGAGAGCTYTGCTAGATGGACTGGTGTTAAGCAACTAGTTTTAGGTCCAAAGGRAAAAAAAAATGTTTTATGACATACAGCTTAACGACTAAATTTGTCTAGCTTCCACAACCACACTGCGCTTCGAGTTTGTTAGCGGCCCTACGCTGAGCTAAGTGTTATCAGCCACGCGTACAGTTAAAGGAGCTACAGCTAAGGAGAAACGGCAGCTGGAGAGGCCCTGCCGGGGCAGCCCCCGCTCACCCCCGGCGCCCTCCCCGCCCGCCACCGCTCCCTGCGGCTGCGGGAGCCGCTCCGCCGGCAGCCGCCCCCCCAGCCCGGCCCACAGGAGCCATCCACTTGCATGTGCCGGCCGCGGGCTGGACTGGAGCGGAGCGGCAAACGCAGCCGCGCCGGGGCGCCCAACGCCGCCGCGGCGCCCCCTCCAACGGTCGCGCCGCGGCCGCTCAACGGCCAGCGCGGCGAGGCGCGAAGCGCGGGCGGCGGCGGAGGGGAAGGGAAGGGGCCCCAGGGCCGCGCCGCTCGGGCCGGCCGGGAGGCGCCGCGCGCGGCCCCGCGTGGCGACAGCGGCGCCACAAAATGGCGGCCCGCGGTGCGAGGCGAAGGCGCCCGACGCCCGCATGGCCCCTCGCGGCCGGACCGCGCCCGCCCCGGCTTCCCGGCCCGCCAAGCCTCTCAAACGGCAGGGGCTCCGCGGGGCCAGGGCCCTCGGGCCGCGTTACAGGGCGGCGTCGCCACGAGGCCCTCCGCGCCCTAACAGCTATGGCGGGCGCCCCACCCTCCATCCTCCTCCTCCCTCGAGCCTCTCCGCGGCCACAGCGCGGACCTAAGGAGGCTTCTCCCCCGCCATGGCCGAGGCTCCCCGCCCTGCACACTCACCATCATTCACCAAAGCTGAGGCAGCGCCCTCACACTTAAAAAAAACAAACGAAATCTTTTTTTTTCCTGCTTAAAAAAACCCACAAAAACTCTTGAGAGAACCAACACCGGCTAGTCTCCTTTTTCCTTTTTTTTTTTCTCCTTTTTTTTTCCTTTTTTTTCTTTTCTTTCTTTAGGGGGGAAGAGGAAGGCGGCCCCTGCCGCCAGCCGCTCCTCTCCCTAAGTAGCCCCGGGAAGGGGCGGGGAAAGGCCCCACCCCGCGCCCCGGCGCCCGCGCTGCCCTCGAGGGGCCCTCCCTGCCCTCCCGGCCCCGCGGGGCCCTCCCTGCCCTGCTGCCCCTGCCCTGCTGCCCCTGCTGGCCCCGCGGGGCCCTCCCTGCCCTGCTGCCCCTGCCCTCCTGCCCCTGCCCTCCTGCCCCTGCGGGCTCCACGGGGCCCTCCCTGCCCTCCTGCCCCTGCCCTGCTGCCCCTG